CGAATAAGTTTCATATTATAAGCTATTTTTTCAAATTTCAAAATTTAGTAATTTTTAAATGGCTGTAACTAGTCTTTTTGTAAAGATAATCATACTTTGTCTTAGAGTTTTGTAAAGTTCAAAGACTCAACTTTGGGAATATGAGACGGTTTTTTGAAAAAAATTGCGTAAATTATGTGTAAATTTAATTTAAAACAAAACACAGTGTTTCCTATGTTAATTAAATGGGAAACCAAAATAAAAATAGGGATCCCTTAGATTTGAGCTATAGGGCTCATGTTTGGCGAGAATTTTTTTTACATCGAATAGAAACATTTGAGGGGGTAAGAGTTAGAAAAAAAAATTTTGTTTGGAGCACCTTAGTACAGAATCGAAGTCAAATATTATACCGGCAAAAAAAGAGTTTATTTCTTAAACTAACACCCTTTTCGCCTAGTAGAACCTGTACACCAAAGGACGAAACGTTGATAATGGTTTGGAAAATAAACTCTTTAAGGATATCAAAAAAGCAACATTTTTGAAATGATAATGGGCCGACTGTTCTGTAAAATATCAGTCAAAATAACCCTTACGGTGGGATGTTTAGTTTTAACTACCCTTGAACATATTTCAGACAAATGCTTCAGCATATTCGGACAATCCCGGAAATAATATTATTAGGAAATGGTTCGAGTCAAATGAAACGACTACCCATATTCTCGTTTGTAGTAAAACATCCCCGAGGAATTTTTCTACATCATAATTTCGTTTGTGCCGTACTTAACGATGTTTTTGGTATTCAAGCTAGAGCTGGGTGCGCTTGTACAGGCTCTTACGCCCAAGATCTACTAAAGATCGATCAAAACTTGGCCGATCAATTCGAAAACATTATTTTGGAAGACAGGTAAGTTCTAAATTGGTCCTTTTTAATAGGAATACTATATTTCTTTACCTGTAGGAGATTGAGCAGCTTGAATTTATCAGTGAATTCGACTTTAGAGCTACTTAAACCGGGTTTCACCCGAATTAGTCTTCCGTATTTTATGAGCGAATCGGAACTGGCGTTTGTTATGGAAGCTGTGAAGATGGTAGCTACAGAAGGTTGGAAACTTCTTCCACAATATATTGCAGACTTGAATACGGGCGAATGGCGTCACTACTCAAACGCGGTGTGCAAAGACAGGAAGTGGTTGAATTCGGTTCGATACGTGGACGGTAAAATGACAATGAACGAACGGAGGATATCGGGGCCCGGAGTTTTTCCGCAGAATTATTCCGAATGTTTACAAACCGCTCGTAATTTGTTTAACCGTGCGAGGAAGACCATTTCGCGGAGTCCTTTCCCAGACCAATCGATCCATTTCGACTCACGAAGCGAAAAATTAAGGTGGTTTATGATCCCGAAGGAGGCCCAAAACATACTGATGGGCAAATCACAGAACGTTAAAAATACAGTTCCATTTAATCCTGTTGGATACGCAGGATCGAGAAAATGTGATAAAATAAGGGATGGAAACACTTGCAGTAGCAGCCCCTCTCCGTTACCCTACACCTCGAATTGCAATCTTACTACCAGACACCTCAGCCTCCCCACGATCGACGATGCCCTGCATTCCCCATCTCCTGTACCTTACCTATTCCAAGACAACGCCATGTTCAATTCCTCAACGTTCCAACACTTCATTCAGTCAAATGCTCCGAATTTCGCTGTTGGTGAAGCAGTTAGTTCTAATGTATTTAGTCCTGTTGCACCTCAACCGACTGTGTATCAACGAGAAAGGTGTTTGAGTTTGGGTGATCCGACTGTATCTCCTCCACCACCCGCTCCTCTACTGAGCCCTCAAACAAGGGCTAGTCTAGGGATGGGGGGTATCGTTCGTAAACGAAATTGTAGCTGTAGCAGCCAGACCGATCTCCATTCTTTAGATTCTGACACCAACACATCTCCGTCGTACAGTCTGAACATGCTTTATTGTGGTCCAAACGACAATTCTTACCTGGGACGTGGATCGCCAGCACCAAATGCCGAATTGCAAGCGTTTGTTAGTGAACTCGCCACCAGTATCAAGTCCGAAATTCGTGAAGTGACCAAAAAAGTTGAAAACGTTTTAGAAAACACCGATTCTGTAGACGTGTCTTACTGTAAATATGACAATCACGAAAGCAGCAGCGAAGATGGACGGAGCGACTCCATTTCCGCGACAGAAGTTGCGGAATATTTGGAAAAGGTATCGAAAGAGATGGTTAACGAAGTTAAATCAGAGATTCGGGACGTCGTTAGTGCTGTGGACGTATTCATAATGCCCGAAGAGAGGATGTCGTCATATTCGAGGCTTAATTCCAGTGAAAGTGATAAATACCCTTCCACTTCTTCAAAAGGAAGATATACACCGGGATCCAGCAGTGAGACAGTTATTCAACTTATTAATCAAACCGATTCTCCTAATGTACCGAGCGATGAAGAGGCCGGAACATCCGAGCAAAACGCCAACAAACTGGCCGCTTCCACGGTCACCAGTGTCAGCTCTCAAGATTCCGGCATTAATCTTTCATTCCACGATCAGGAGTATTCTTCTAACGAATTTGCTAAAAGACGCAGCAGCTCGGAATCGTCGGCAACTCGTCATTTGCGAAAAGAAAGTGACAAACTTAAATTTTCCACGTTACAAAGACAGAACAAAAGTGAAGTGAATGAGAAATGTATCGTGGATCAGGACAGATCCGGTCAGATTATGAAGTGGTCTAGTCCGCCAAAGAACGTCTGGTTGCAATGTTTGGAGGCTTTGCAAGAATACGAAATGATTAAAGATGGTGATAAAGTCATGGTCTGCTTATCGGGTGGCAAAGATTCGCTCTGCTTATTGCACACGTTGCTTCAATATCAAAGTCATGTGCAAAATAGAGGGATTCTCTTCAGTTTGGGAGCCGTCACAATCGATCCCGATTCTTCTGGTTGTGACCATTTTAAACTTATGCCTCATTTGAAAAATTTGGGAGTACATTACATTGTCGAAGATCAGAGCGTGTCCCAAACAGATATCGGTAATATAAACGTCAATTAAATGATGAAAGTGTCTTTTAATTGTCTTTTTTTTCTGGTTGATTAATACAGGCAAGTGTCGATCGTCGACTTCTAAATGCAACTTTTGCAGTTTTTGTACCCCCGACAAACGAAGGAGATTGTACTGTGCTGCCAAAAATTATGGTTACAATGTTTTGGCAATTGGACAACATTTGGACGATTTTGCCGAAAGCTTTCTAATGTCTGTTTTTCATGGTAATAGTCTCAGAACAATGAAGGCGCATTATTTAATAAGGTACGTACAATGCAGATTTTTTTAAGATGTTTTGTGTTTCGTTCATCAAAACCAATTGTTAAAATTCATTATTATTGTTTATAGTTTCAGCAATAATTATGATTGTTTCACTTTCACAGTATATCTTTTTTAATATGAAATATTCTCAATTTTTACCCACTACACACTTCCTCAAGTTAATGAGGAACATTTTTTGTTGCTGTTGTCACACCCCCGCCGGGAATCGAACCCGGGCTTTACGCGCCAATGCTTTGACGGGTTCGATTCCCGGCGGGGGTGTGACAACAGGAACAAAAAATGTTCCTCATTAATTTGAGGATGTGTGTAGTGGGTAAAAATTGAGAATATTTCATATTAAAAAACTAACTCACTTCGGGAAGATTTCTACATTGTATGTATATCTTTTTACTGATAAAAATTATTAAAAAAGAATTTTGAATTGTGTGTGATCGATATTTTTCTTATTTAGAGAACACGATTTACGAGTAATTCGGCCATTTGCTTATGTAAGAGAAAAGGCTCTAAGACAGTTTGTGGTAAGCCACGGGTTACCCGCAGTGTGTAATAATTCAAGTCCAGAAACGACAAAAGAACGCCAAAGAGTTAGACAAGTTTTAGCTCAGCAAGAAATATTATTTCCGAAGCTGTTCACGAGCTTACGAATCGCTTTGAAACCTTTGATGACTTTCCAGTTAGATTCTAAGAAATCGAAGAGAAACGATTCTGAGAAAAGCACCGAAGAAACGGACACATCCGACCCAGAAACTGACGAAGAGCCAGTACTGAAAGATGACTGATTTATTTAATTTAATTAGCTTTATCATTTTTATAATTATGTTGTCAGTATTTTTCGTCAAATTCGTAGGTTAAACCTCGAAAAGGACAATTATACCCCCGCCCCTTTCCTTCCAGAATTTCCCTTTGTGTAATTGTTATAAATTTATTTAAAGACTTTATCGTTTCTGAACTGTTACAGCATGTATCTACACAAGATTTGAATACTTTGAAAATTGAAAACTTGCCAAAAAAAAATAATGAAATTTTTTTCTAATCAAAACTATTTTTCTAAATGTTGTTCTTAGATCAAGACGAACGCATGGTTTGTCTACTTTGTAAGTGTTTATTACACGTTATATGCATGAACAAGATTTTAGAAGGACAACTGAAATTATTTAAGTTGTTTTTCGTAAATATTGGTGTGATATGTAATATTTGTAAGAAAATGAAAAGCTATTTAAAAATTCAGTTCACCTCCAAACACATACAAAAATAGAACGTAGTTTTGCAAAACTTCAGTGTAAGTAATAGAAGACGATAAGATCAAATTAATTTATTTTCCATTTTTAGTAAATGGTCGTCTTTATTTGGAGAGTTTTTGAATTTTTAAGTTCCAGGGGCTCAGGGTTCGAAATATAAAAAAATAATCAAGTCTGTACCTTATTTTTAATTTGAAACTTGAAAACTTCAACTCCATATGATGCATGCACCTTACAATTTTACAGGCTTTTAGCTATTTTTGTTCGAACATTAATTTCATAGATGAATTAAATGGCGAAATTTGTTGCTATTAAAATTAAGGTAGACCCATAAGTGGCTCCTAGCTCCTGAGAGCATAAAAATCCAAAAATAACTAGCTACTTATTATTTGTTACAGGTAATGTTGTTAATATTTACTATACAGTTGCTTTAGCTATGTTGAGGTGTACGTTAAATCTATTTAGGATTTGATACTGTGTACTACTGGAAAACTGAACATTGCTTAAAAAATTGTACTCAAATGAAAATATTTACTTAATTACTATTAAACCAGTTACGGCAAGAATGATATTATTATAAACTATGCAAATGCCAAACTGTATACTTATGTAGTTCCCTGTTTTGCTATTTATAAAATGCCATAAATTATTAATTCGTGTATGCTATCATTTTTGTATATTATATTATGGTAGTCTATATAGTTAAGATTTGTGCTATGGATATAATAGTAATAATACATAATAGCATCCAAAGGAAATCTAATACCCAACACAAATATCTCGAAATTTGTTATATTTCGTAATATCTATCTATTTATTTATAGTTGCGGTATTTCCAAAATAATGATATAAACGCATTGTGGTATTAGATACTACAAGGAAAGATCATTGCAAGGTATGCATGGATGGTCTGCCCCTGAAACTCAAAGAATAAGGGTCAATTACGTAAAAAAATCGCTCTGAAAATTGCTGAAAAATACAATAAGTGTAACTACGGTTCTAACTATCCCGTTTAAATTTACAATATCTACTTAATGTATTAAAAAATGTTTTTTAATTCTATCAATTTCGTACTTTCCTTAGATTCCTAAGTTTTATTCCTTAATCTCGTCATTTTTAAGTATGAGAGCACTGGTGATACTTTTTTTTTTTAGTGATATATGTTAATTAAAAATAAAATTGCAAATAAGAATGCTTATTAATGTTAGTTCTAGTTTTAAGAAAAAAAATCTAGAAAAGATATATTTTCAAAGGCATAGCCAAAATTTCAGTTGCACATTTCAATTTTCAGAACAATTTTTCTTGTGATGTGGTCCCTTGCCTTTTTTTGTGCAATTTACTACTGCTACTTTTTATCCCTAAAATATCATTGGTTTATAAGTAAAAATACATTCTACTATAAATAATTTTCCATTTACAGAAAAGTACCGAATGTGAATGAATCAATTAAAAAAAAGAATAATCCCTTACTATTTAAAAATTATTAAATGAAATAATAAAAACTTTTAATTAAACTGTAAACCAATGCAAACGAAAAAAGTAACTTGTGCAAAAAAAGAGTATAATCCTTGTCTTCAGGAGTGGTTTGCCGATATGTATGTCGCCTATCATTTATGCATAATGTGATTATATTGTAATTAATTTAATTCCGAATTTATTATCACTGTTTTAAGTTATTAATTGATTAGTAAATATACTCGAATATGTTGTTATATCACCTCAGTTTTCTTGTATATAAAATAACAACAACAACAACAATTATGAATAAAAAATAGTATATTTAAAAATTATGTTTACTGCTAGTAAACAAAACTAAACTTTCGGACCGTTTCTTCGAGTCCTCTAAACTTTTTTGTCGAAATTTAATTTAATAATTATTACATCTTTATTAAAATTGCTGTTTTTTGTAATCTACACCACAACATTTTGATTAATTTGAAGACTGCTTTTAAATTGTATGTACAAATGTACATGTTTAAAAAAACATTAAGTGAAAGTATATTTCCATATCGTGATTGTAACCACTGCATGAAAAAAGAACAATTATTTTACTTATCTGATAGATATCAGAAATGTGTTGATTTCCTAAAAATGTGATTTTTAGATGTAGTTACTGTTGGACTACTATTTAAATATTTAATGATGTTGTAATGCTAATGTGGAATGTAATTTTTGTTATTTAAAAGATGCGAATGCATATTGTAATTAGAACAATAAGATTCTTATTATATACATTAAAAATGAGTTTTATTTATTCGAAAATAAAAAATTCACCTTAAAAAGTTAAATTGTTGAAGTGGAAGAAAAAAATGTTCAATCGTTCGAAAATACATGAAGAATATAAAAGTAGTTTAATTTATTAAATATAACGATGATCATTTTTTAAAAAATGTAATTCATAATTAACATATTGAAAATTGAAACAATCTAGAAGTTAGAAGTTCCCGCATGCGACCCATATATGAATTAATTAATATTCTAAAAATTGCTACAATTTAGTACTGCCAGTGCCATCATACGCTAAGTAGCTGAACTATATTGAGAAATAGAAGGAAAAACTGTATAAAGTTGTCCCGCGCTAAAACTCCGAAAAAGATCTTATGCGACTTATGCTCTCCTAATACAAATGTTGAAATTTACGAAAATTTTCAGTTTCGCGACCCATACGAGGTCTGGTTAAAAAATAATTGNAAAAAAAAATGGATAATGAAAATATGGTTAATGTTATTTTAGAACCTCTTTTGTTTGATAAGGACTGTTTTTCAGGTATATCTCATGAAACAGGTATATAATTCTTAAATACGAGAGCCACGATATCAGTCAATATATTCGATTACTTTTATTAGTATCCATCTATCATAATATGATGTAGGGTTTCACGGTTTCATTTTCTTTTCTATTTCATTATCATCATCATCCTAACTCTTTTTGTTTTTGTATTGTTACTTATTGCTTTCCAAATTCGTTTGACTTGTTCGTTTTTCGTTATCATCTATAACAGACAATTAGTTTTACTCTAATTAACTAATTTCTTATTCTGCCTTTTCTAATTACTCCTTTAATTCTTCTGACGTGTCTTTTTTAAAGCTTGTAGTTGGCTTTGTTATTGTGTAATATTAAATCCTTAAATCTCAGGCAATTTTTCAATTAAATTATTAGAAAAATAAGTACTGCAAATCTACAATGTGAATAGAAAAGGATTAATTTGCAAATCGTATATTTGCATTTTAGTTTAAATTGAGGAAAAGGAACTGATAACATTAATTGCTATGGCAGTTTACTTTTTTTTCTAAAAGCATTTCATAGAAAAATAAATTTCTAGATACCACATAAGTACTATCTTGGAATTCAAATAAAACGATTCCGTAATAATTACTAAACAGTAAACATACGCAGAACCGGAAGTTTTAAATTATAGTTAACTATTAATCTAGGATCATCACACACTAAACCTTTGTTATACATACTTATTATCTCTTAAACTAACGCATTATTCTACGACTTGTACTATGTAAGCTACATAGTATATATTAGTTTTATTAAATAAATACACAAATATATTAAATTATACCATTATTCTAGGGCTTATGCTACGTAAGCAAAACAAGATATATGACTTTCATTAAATACAAATACGTCTTAAGTTATGAAGCGACATCTTTTAATCAACTGCTAGACTACAATATATTTTCACATCAACACATTTACATATTTCTATAATAGCTTCACTAATGAAGATATCTATGATTACCTCTGTGTTATATGTATTTGAGGTTGGAATAGTTGTTGTGAATAAATCTACAGCTTTATTACAGGTTTATTGAACATTTTAATGTTTTATATCAAAATATGGATAATAAATAACATTAAACAAATATTCTACATTTACTGGCACTACCTGGCAAAGTGTAATCTCAACACAGTGATGTTTATCCCAATACTGTTTAACTAATAATAAATCTACTAATAGGAAGAATTTGCTTGAGTTAATTTTAATTGCTACTTTCTACAATGACAAGTGGCAAAAGTGAGAATATTTTCGATAATATACAACGACTTCCCGTTAATTTTGAAGAACATAAATTCAATGACTGGATTGTAAAATATACAAAGTCTCACATTTTACATTCACAGTGTAACACCAGTCACCATTGTAAGGAAAATCCTCATGATGTATGCCAGTATTGCTTGTAAGTAATATATAATCAATTAGCCAATGTATAAATACTAAGAAGCATTAATTTTAGATACAATAACACTCTTGAATTGCCGCATTTACCTGAAATGGTTTTCCCTAATAATGTGTTAACTGTAAAACATGACAGTGGTGTTCAGTTTGAATTTAATGCTTTAGATGCCCTAAAACCAGTTAAGAACTCTAGTATGGCCTTAAAAGTAGCTTATGCAGATGTCTGGAAGGAATCTCGAGATCCGAACTTCTTGGAGGAAAAGTTCAAGCCCTTTGATTGGACATTTTCAACTGATTATAAAGGGACAGTGTCTGGGGATGTTGTTGTAACTCAAACAGAAGAGAGAATTGACATAGAGAAATTGAAACAGAAAGAAAAGATTTTGTTTTACCATGAATTAATGCTATTCGAAGATGAACTGCATGATAATGGAATTGCTTCATGTACTGTTAAAATTGTAAGTTGTTTTTGCTATTTTATTGTGTAAAGGCTATGGTTACATCTTGAGCTCAATTTTATTTAGTAGTTGCAAAAGAAAAACTAATTTGTTTTATACATTTTTAGAGAGTAATGCCAAGTTCTTTCTTTATTCTTCTTCGATATTTTTTACGAGTTGATAACGTTATGGTCCGCGTTAATGATACTCGAGTTTATCATGAATTCAATACAAATCATATCCTGAGGGAATACACTAGCAGAGAATCAGGATTTCGAGATATAAAATTGCCACTGCCAATGTTTGGAGATCCAAATTTATTGTCTCCACACTTACCTTTGAGAAATGCAATAAATGAAAAATTTACTTTCAAAATAAAATCAGAACAAACCAAACAAGAAATTGACAATAAAGTTGATGATCCACACACTGAAGGTGCAACTTCAAATAAAATGGAAGAAATGTAAAAGCAAAATGTTTTTTTTTATGGAGGATATATTACAGTACATTTTAACTTTCAAAAAAAAAAAATGAGTCAGGTTTATCATATAGTTAAGTTATTTGTATATCTAATTAAAACGTGTGTCAAGTAATGATTTAATTCATGAACATATTTCTTTAACTGTTAATCATGTCAAAAGGATTTTTCGAATAAACACAGTTTTATAAAAAAATGTTTGTGTTTATTTCATGTTAAATAAAACACAATGTTCCAATATTGCACACAGTACTTACAGTTTTAGTGTTTTATTTAGTTTCATTCAAAAGCTGAGCTCTATGATTTTCTTGTATTATTTAAAAATAATTATGATTAGTAAAAGAACTAAAAAAATATTTATTACCTAATATATAAAACTTCCAGTTGATGTAATTACATCAAAAATGGTCCTACACAGGGATCCCCGTTCTCGAGCCGCCTCTAACTTTTTTGTTGTCATCTTTTTTGGTAGAAATTCCTACACTCCGCTTAATTCCATTTTGGAACTGAAGCTGTAATTTAAAAACAGTATAAATATAAACACTAAACGCGTTATCTTTTTTAATAAGAAGTACAAATAACGTAAAGATATTGAAAACGTACCTGTTTATCGATTGCCCTAAACTGCCAGGACCAATTTGCTCGGTACAAGAAAGGCCTATGGTCGAATCGATTATCATCTGGACTGTAACTTTCAGCATGGTATGAAGGTGTCAGAACGGTCATTTTGTGCCTGTTTATCGCATAACATCTAAAATAAATTAATACATGTTTACATAATATAAAAAGGTATAATAAAATATATACGTAGAAAACAAAATTATTTATTTAATATATCTAAAAGGATCTTCATAAGAAAGGCTACTTGGGGAAATAAATTATAATGATTACACACTAAATATTGTTTCAAATAAATATTTTTGCGAAGACTGACTTATTAACAGACTTTAATACTATCTTCAGCTTAATGCAATTTATTTTCAAAATCATTCACATTTTCATCTTGAAAGTTTTGTAAAAGAATAGTTAAGTTGAAAAGGGGCGAAAAGCCCAATTCCTGCTGCCAATAAAAATATCGTAAGAGTATTACCTAAAGAAATGCTTAACTTTCTCCGCAACTTCTTCAGGCGAACAGGTGTCTTTCCAGGTATTAACAAGTTTGCAGAACATAGAATATGGTCCACATTTTTCTTGCTTCCTTAATCTTCCAAACACACTTAATTCTGCGTACGTCATTCCCATATCCTCTTCATCGGTTTGTGTTAAACTACCTTGACTTGATAGAGGTTCCAATTCAGCTGTAGGAGGTGCTGACACGATATCCTCAATTACAGGAACATTAAATTTATCTTTCACATAATTTAAGAACATTTTCAAGTCAGTCTTAGAAATACCTCCGATAGGGTTAATATCAGCACTAGAGCAGTCATATTTCGTCATGTAACCCCTCAAGGCTTCGTCTACGTTAGCTGAACCGAGCACCAGAAGACCTCCAGGTCTTCCTCGAACCCAAAGCATTAGTTGTGCAAAAAGGTACGCAAGGACCATACGCAGTCGTGCTTGGATATTTTGGAGAGCCAAGTTTTGTCTTGCACATCCTCCTTGAGAAGCAAATTTCGGTAAAAGGCCTGTGGCTGCAGTAAAAATTTCAAGAAGTGCTCTCACTGCTCTATCTATCGTTATTGACATGTGGTAACTAATTAAAAAAAAAAGAAAGCTTTGTATATCCATAAATATATGTATACATAGTAAAAAATGTAAAATAAATATTACCTTCCAATTTGAGAAGCTAAAGTCGCAGCCCTATGGTTAGTTTCCCTTGATGAGTTTTCTGAACCCATGTAACAAGTAACAAATAATCTATTACATAGTTCTTCAGGTTTGGTGGGTGTATATTCAGGGTCAACAAGAATTTTTCGAATGTCGGCTAATACTCTGCTCTCTGAAATTTTTTATTAAATTGCCAAATCAAATTCTTACCGGAAAGGAACGTACCTCCCCTCTGTACTGCTTTTACAACCATCCTGCACATTGAGAAAACTATCATTGCTGTGCTTGTAGAATCTACACCACCACTTAATGGCAAGAAAAATCCACCTTGCCCTGATCGCCGAAGGTAATCCCAAAGCCAACAGGCAGGACCCTAAATAATGAATATTTTAAAGAAAGATAGAATAAGTAATTAAAACACTCATGAGACCTGGGCTATTTCTTCTTCTGGTCTTAAATATTTCCATTCTATTGGAAATGCTGTAGGAAAAGTCGAGTCGTGTTCTGGTGAAAGGGAAAAGTCCACCAAAATCCTAGGATAACTAGGATACTCTGAAGATGCATGAGACCGAGATCTCATACTATTCCTGAAGGATCTAATATCTTCTAAATCAATCGTTGCTGACGTTATTTCCTATTAATAACCCATAAAGATTATTACTATAGTTTAACATAATAAACAAAAAAAAATTAAAATATAAAAATAGTTAAGCTACTTTTGTATGTCAATCAAAAAATTAAAATTTCTTTTATTAAAGGATATGCTTAGTCATTATTATGATTATTATTTTAATTACCTATGCATTTATCAATAAAAAAATAAAGTTCTCACCACATCTTGTAATGCAAACTGCTTGGAATAATTCAAAATCTCTCCATTAAGTGCTATACAAGAACCCCCATTAAAATAAGTTCTCTGTCCATCACAGCCTCTTAAATTACAAAATACATAACAACCTCCTACTTTAAAAGTTGCACTTTTAACTAAATTGCAAACTACATAAGCCTTTCTTAATTCCATATAACTACCAGAACCATTGCAAATAATTTCTACCCCATCAAGAGACATTGGTATATGACTACTAAAAGGAAACCACAATTCTTCACAAATTTCAAAACCTTCAAAAAAAAAACAAAGAATAATACAAATATAAAATAATAAATAAGAATATATGTAATATATTATGATATAGTATACCTATGCATGTGTCTCTTGTAGATATTACAGCATCACCAAAAGGAACTGTTGTTTGACCTGTAACTGCAGAAATCATACGTGGTAGGTGATGATCTTCAACTTGGCGAATCTATTAGACAATAAAAAGGTAATACAATGATCTGAAGTCTTTTTTAACAATATAAAAGTGCCAATTAATCTTTTGAGACTCACCTTCTTCCATGCAGAAAACCATCTTGATTCTCTGTAATTGTCCCCATCACACATTTGCAATTTTGGGCGAATTAGCAAAATGTTTTGATTTAAAAAGATGATTCTGCAATTGTAAGCTACATTTTTGTGCATTACTGGCATTCCAACATCTACTAATATGTCTTTACATAATGGTGCTGTTAAAAGTTCTAGCAACACTTCCCAAGAGTGGAGAAAAGTATCACTTTCATAAAAATGATCTTCACAACTATATCCACTACAAATCATGTATTACATAAGAAAATAAATATCATAAATGATGTTATAATATATAGCACCATATTTCTAATTCTGGTCCTGTGCGAAAAGCAGCTCCAGCTTCTTTCGCCTCTAATATAGATTCTAAAATTCTTTCACGGTTTCCATCAAAATCTAAAGCCCACTGATTAAGGGTAGCAGCAGCCACTGTAGCTTTTCTTCCCATTTTATATTTATATATAAGGAATGGGTATGCAATTCAGTATTTACTAATTACTATTACTTACATAATAGAGATAAGAGCTAATTAAATAATATAAAATTTTGCTTTAAAGGTACACAAATGTGACACTTATAACCTAAAATCATAGATAACAGATTCTGTAACCTAACTTTTAATATTTGTTTTTATTGGTTTCCATAGCAGCAAATAGTTACAACCCGTCACACAGTAAGGAACATCATATACAGGGTGACTCATTAGTAGGAGCTATTTTTTAAATGAAAATAAAACAAAATTATTAACTAATCCAGTAATAAAAAAATTGACAAATGTTTCAGCTACTCTTGAAAATGATTTGATTTTCGAAACAATTTTCATTTTTTTTTTAATTCATTGTGAAACCGCTACACCCCGTGTTTTTCTTAAATACTACAATTTCTGAATTTTTTAATATTTCAATATATTTCACCAAATGCAAAGTGACCCAACTATCAATACGATATAATAAATATTTATATTTTTAGATTGCTTGTAAAAAAGTATTTTATTATGTTATATATTTAAACGTAGGATAGTATTGAAACAAAAAGCAATAATTTCTACTAATTTAGCTCGTTTTTTGTAGGTAACTATTTAATAAAACTATATACTGATTAAAAGAAAAATTGAAACTACTGTACCTACTAACATCGTTTCTCGAAATCAAAAATTAAGAAAACTGGTACCTATTGGTGGAATATAAACGTTAAAGAGCTGCGCTTTTTGATTACTTCCAACTTTAAAAATACAGCATGTAGTCTTTCATTGGAATATTAAAAAAGTAGAACTCGATTGAAAAAAGTACGACGAAGAAATTCATTAAAGTTGCTAATTGTTATAAGATATTGTTTTTTATTTTATGAACCTTTAAAAGAACACCCTCTTTTCATTCAACATTTACATCCCTGTATATTATTTGTCAATAAATTAATAATAACGGTACTGTCTCGTGAACTTTTAAAATTGATCAAACAAATCGGTGGTAAAGCCTATTGTTCAACCCTTGTACAAAAAGCTCCGCAATCCAAGGGATAAGTCAGTTCTTCGTCAATTACAAACCTGTACACAAGACAAGTGTACTTTTGTTTATAATTAGGACGATTTATTAATTAGAATGGAATTTGTCAGCTGACAAAGAATCATCCCTCAAAATGAGAAAAGGTACGCAATGTTTTTTCATTATTTCTATTATTTATAGATATATCTATGTTATCAATTTTGACAAGAATTATTTTTAAATTTCAAAATGACATAGTGTCGAATAACGCGTTCCACCAAACACCTTTCTATCTGGTTTGTTTATTTTAACGGGTTTTATTTTGAAAAAAAAAATGGATAATGAAAATATGGTTAATGTTATTTTAGAACCTCTTTTGTTTGATAAGGACTGTTTTTCAGGTATATCTCATGAAACAGGTATATAATTCTTAAATACGAGAGCCACGATATCAGTCAATATATTCGATTACTTTTATTAGTATCCATCTATCATAATATGATGTAGGGTTTCACGGTTTCATTTTCTTTTCTATTTCATTATCATCATCATCCTAACTCTTTTTGTTTTTGTATTGTTACTTATTGCTTTCCAAATTCGTTTGACTTGTTCGTTTTTCGTTATCATCTATAACAGACAATTAGTTTTACTCTAATTAACTAATTTCTTATTCTGCCTTTTCTAATTACTCCTTTAATTCTTCTGACGTGTCTTTTTTAAAGCTTGTAGTTGGCTTTGTTATTGTGTAATATTAAATCCTTAAATCTCAGGCAATTTTTCAATTAAATTATTAGAAAAATAAGTACTGCAAATCTACAATGTGAATAGAAAAGGATTAATTTGCAAATCGTATATTTGCATTTTAGTTTAAATTGAGGAAAAGGAACTGATAACATTAATTGCTATGGCAGTTTACTTTTTTTTCTAAAAGCATTTCATAGAAAAATAAATTTCTAGATACCACATAAGTACTATCTTGGAATTCAAATAAAACGATTCCGTAATAATTACTAAACAGTAAACATACGCAGAACCGGAAGTTTTAAATTATAGTTAACTATTAATCTAGGATCATCACACACTAAACCTTTGTTATACATACTTATTATCATCGAGTCATCAGGAAGTATAACTAGGAACTATTATACAATACATATATATTATGTATAATAAAACATAAATTTGTCTACTTTCATGTGTAATAATTTCAAGTTCATTTAAAGAAAAGTATGACATTGCCTTAATTTTCCTAGAAATGAAGTAGATAATTAATACACTTTTGTTTTATTATAATTAAAGTAACTGAAGTATGTACATATCCTGCACATAATTGCTTTAAATGCGAGCAGTATTTTGGAAAAATTTGCCTTACAGATCCTGGAGTGAAAGAACTCCAAGAGGCTTTATTCCCTGCAGTAAATACTCCGAAAATTAATAATGCCGGAGGTTTTTTAACAAATTTCCTTTTAAAATTTACTGGTACTGGACAAGAAGAACGAGCCGGCGATACGCAATTTACTTACAATAAAGATCCCAAAGATCTATTTTCAATAATAAAAGAACCAGGAACTGCAATTCAATCACCACGGTGGCCCACGGAATGTCAGGTAGGTAGTCGAACTTCTTAATAAATTAATAAAATCAATGTATCTATCAAATTGGATTGTCGTTATAAAGAAGAATCAAACTTTACATCCCAAAAAATTTAATCTATCTAATCGTAGATATCTTTCTCCAAAAATTAAATCACGCAACTTAGATAGATATTCATCACACGCAAACGTTTACTACGAAAAGAGGTCAAAAGCCTGATCGAAATGCAATCATTGTTTCAATAAAGTGGTGAATCTTTTTAATTAAATGATATCCTAAAATCTAGAGCATTAAACATTTAGTAGGAGATTTTTAAACCACCCAATTCTGTGCTTTATTAAGTACTAACAAGTTCAAGCAAAATTAAATATTTCGATAATTAATAAAGATAAGCAATTCGAGTGAAATAAATTAATAAAAAAAGATTATTATTTTTTGGAGCAACGATACCTCGAGTTAAAAAATTATTTGCGATTGCTACAATTGTTTCGCTACACATGAGTAGCTTCGCCAAGCGTTAAATTTATTTTATGATTCGGCGAATGTACTCATCTACTGTATAGTATAATGAAACTGTAGTTATTGTAGGCCCCCATATAAATAAATTTGACAATTTTTATTTTACTTTTCTAAAATATAATCGCAAAAAATGTACAGGTTCTTGAAGAGCGTATTAGACATATTCAGTATGTTCCTCCATCTCCACATCCCTATTATAATCCTTCAGGAGATGAAATTCAACCTAAACCTGTAGGAGAAGAATGTGGAATCATAGTTTATCAGTATTATCCCATCAGTGCAGTAAATTATGTAAGTAATCCCGCACGCACTAAAATTCCTTTTGTAAAAGAAATATGTCGCATACATTTTGAGAAATATATTTTAGTTCAGTCGATCAAGTATTGGAGGTAGTAGGTATCTCCTTCCCACCTGTCCTTGTCCCGAACAAGAGGGTCTTCGATTTGAGTCCCGATTCGAATGTGGGAATTTAGCCAAAGCCATAAGAATTACGTCCACGTTTTACGAGCTTCATCTCAGAACTGATCTTTACACCAACAAACACATGCAATGGTTTTATTTTCGAGTAAAGAATACCAGAAAAGAAATTCTTTATCGGTACGGAAAATATTTTAGCTGGTACTCTCTTCGCAGTAGAGGGGACACCGGAGTCCTGCATCATGTCGATGTCCTGTCCATCAATATCCTACCACTTTTTGACTTTTAGAACGTCTTTCTAGATAATTTTTCGGCTGAAGCTGTTAGATTACACCCTTTTTGTCAATACTAGAAGCTCTTGTTGTAGAATGGAAGTGGAGCCTACAGTTTTTGTTTATATTTTCTATTAAATTTTATCAGTAGATATTTTAAAAGAATTCCAGACAGTCTTCAAAAGGGTCTTCTGGTATTGTTGACAAAAGGGATGTGTTCTAACCTTTTCTGCTGAAAAATGGCCTAGAAAGACGTTGTAAAATTAAAGAAGTGGTAAAAGTTTGATGGACAGACGATCGACATGATCTAGAATCCCAATACCCTCACCACTCTTTCTTTTTTGATCACAGTTGTAAAAAGTAAAGGACAACGTTTATTTAAAAAAAATGTTTATGAAGATTGAAGACAGTTTAACATTGTTTCGCTTTATAGCTTCCATGTTTTTCGGCAATTTAAAACTGATTCTAGAAATTCAACTGTACCTTGACTTTTAAATAGATGATAATAAGAAACATGAAATTAAAATTATAATTTTGCAATTAATGTGAGAATGGAACAGTCACGAAATTTACAAAATTAAAGCAATTTTGTTTACTAAAAGAATTTTTATTACATTCTTATGTGTATATTTACTACCAAAAAGACGAAAACATCTTCTTAGAATATTTCTTATCGATTTCAGCTTTTCGATAGTAAATATGACTAAAGATGGTAGTCTATTCAACGAGGGTCTTAAACCCCTCCTGTATTCAGAAAAGGACGCAAATTTGTTTGAAATAGGTTGGAGAAGATTTGGAAATAATATCACATACTTTTGCAACGACAATAAGTAAGAACTTGTAAATAATTTGAATAAATAATCGTCCACAATAATGTCACCGCATCAAATAAATATCTTTTTAGTGATAGTAATGATGAAGATCAGCAAAATACTTATACCTTAACATTCACATTTGAGTTCCCCCACGATGATGACGTTTGTTATTTTGCATACAGTTACCCATACACGTACTCTGATTTACAAGATTACCTATTGGAATTGTCAAACGATCCATACAAATCGTCCTTTACTACATTGAGATTACTCTGCAAAACTCTAGCCGGAAATAACGTTTATTATATCACAATTACGTCTCAAGAAGAAAACACTAAGAAAAGCGACGTCGAAAATGAAGAAAATGTTAAAGAAGGAACGGTAAAAAACAATTATAATAAAGTTTTTTAGTAATTAGCCTCAATTTGAGTATTAGAAACAAAACAAAAGCGAACTTTTTAAAAATGGTGATATAGAAATTTAATTTGGATTTTGAGATCATTGTTTTGAAATATAATTTCTTCTCCATGTTTTGCTAAAAACAGCATCTTCAGAAGGCCTTTTGTTGAAAATCCATTGCACAGTTTGGCCACTGTAATACCATGGACGAAGTAAACTTTCGCTTATAGAAACAAATGTCGGNATATATTTATATTTATTTTCTTCACAATAGATGTTTATTACATATTTAATATTAGCTTTTATCCGCGGCTTCCTTCGCGTTGATGCTCTAAATACAAAGATCATCGACGATCACATCAAATTAATTTCTTTTCTATCCCCCGGGAACAGAATTTTTTCTGGATAAATGTACCCCATGTCCTTCTCTGTACCTTTGACAATATGTGCAAAAAATCTCATGATGATCGATTGAGTACTTACGGCGTGAAAACGTAACAAACAAACACATTCGCATTTATAATATTAGGTTGGGTTGGATTGTAACAATCGATAATGTGAACCGGCATTGACAATATCGAGAGCTTTCAAATTATAACAACGAATGAATGGATATTCCAGATATTTATTTATCCTCTTTCTGTTTATATTTTTTGTTGTGGGTCAGTATTTTATCCCTTATATTTTTCAAGAAAAAGAAAGCTGTTGTGATAACAGCTAGAGTTCATCCAGGCGAAACTCCATCGTCTTGGATGATGAAAGGTTTTTTGGATTTTCTAACGAGTGATAACAACACTGCCAAGGAACTGCGTGACAAGTTCATTTTTAAACTTGTGCCAATGCTAAATCCCGATGGCGTAATTGTTGGTAATAATCGATGCTCTTTAACTGGAAGAGACCTCAACAGACAATATAGGACAGTTATAAGGGAAACCTACCCTTCCATCTGGTACACGAAGCTTATGATAAGAAGGTAAGAATATTAACAATAATCTAATTGTAAGTAGATTAAGAATTTATTGCAAAATGAAAACCTTCAAGTAAAATCAGGACTTTAAAGTAGAAAATTCTGATTCTACTGTGTTTTCGCGTTGGTATTGTTTTATTTATTTCTTTTTAATAATTTAGACTGTTGGAAGAATGTGGAGTTGCCATGTATTGTGATTTGCATGCTCATTCAAGAAAACATAATATATTTGTGTATGGTTGTGAAAATCGACGGGGCCAAGAAAAAAAACTGCACGAGCAGGTATTTCCACTGATGCTAAGAAAAAATACACCTGACAAGGTAAATGCGAAATCTTTCATTTATTCTCACAGAATCGATAATTATTATTAGCACAATAAAAAAAAAATATTAATTCTTCACAAAATACAGAATAAATGGGTGATTTCAAAGTCAAACGATTGGCTTTATTACTGATAATAATTGATTGAATATAAACAATGGAATGCCAAAGATGAGATCCAAAGATTGCGGACCAAAGTCAATTCACTTATACAAAATCTCTTGTAAAGTTGGACAATTGGAACGAAAGTTCACATAGTTGGTTATATTCAATTAATTGTCAGTTACACATCCAATAAAGTACGTATTGTTTTTCGATTAATTTATCATTTGATGTGAATTATGATTTTAGAGTTATATGACTTTGAAATCGCCCATTTATTTTACCTGTCACGCTACGGAAATCAGTTTTCATCGTGAAAATACAAATATGTCCTAGCAGTACTTAATAACTTGGTTAATTATTTTAATGTCTAGGTATTAAAATAAGTTCTATGTTCGTGTCTATGTACATAAAATCTTAGCTAATTAATATACCGTGTCTCGTTACAGTAATATTACCTTCAAGTAGACTGAGCGCTGTCGTTTAAAATAGTTAATTTTATTACGACCGCATTGAAGGAAACAATAAAGTACGAAATTCTCCTCTGTATATGTACAAAGCTTATTAAAAATGACACAAGGTCGTTTAAAAATGGCACCAACTTTATAAATTGAAAGAAATTATAAATCGGCTCTTGGTACGCATTATTTACGTATTCTAAGTTTAGTAAGTTGGCCAAGGAGAAAATACATTTTTCCCGTAAGTTTAAGGGTAATCGGTTAATGTTCTAGTGTTGTTAGCCTCTTAGCATCCCCTCGATCACTGGCCTACTTTCGCAAATAAGGACATCCAAATAATATTTCAAATTCTTTATTAAAATACTGAAACAACCCGTTCATCAAAAACTTTCCAATTTCCGCTTGCGATAGATACAATTTTGAAATTTTGGCAAACTGACAAATGCTTTCCGATCTTTTAGATAAAATAATACTTATGTGTGCCAGATAAAACGGAAGTAGACACCGAATCTATTAATACAAATAGGATTCTCATATGACTTCTGTAAAATTTTCATGTTTTAGATATTTGATTACACTTTAGAGACACTGGCTACTTATGGTGTTATTTTAATAGAATTTTTCACGATATTCCCATGGTAATTTGAGTGTTAAGGCCCTCAGTAAAAAATTATTTTCATTAAAGAAATTTGGTTCAACCAGAATAATATGTAGTCCTTAAAAGGAATTACTAAGCAGTTTCATCAATATCTTGTTTTAAAAAAAAGGAATCTTCCGTAATTCGAAAATCTTTCTATATAGAATATTTTTTGGCATCTTGATGTACATATTGTTTCTCATTCTCTCTAACTCGAATGTTTCTCTAACTGGAAATTCAAGTGCAGGTTGTTCATTATGAATCGTCTCCTTAATTCGATTTTTTTTTCGGAAAAATCAACCGCAGCAATAACTTACTTATTACACTGTTATTTTCTTTGTTTTTCAACAATATTTCACAATAAAATTAAAGTAAGGCTCAAACTATCGAATTAAAAAATTTATATTTAATTGTAGTATAAAATCATGTCGAACCTATTCAACATATAAAATATTTACTTTAATTATAACTAAAGATAACTTGGAAAGTGCAAAAGCAATGTGGCTACAATGAGATTTTTTTCAAGACATTTCGCCTTTTTCCTTTACATCAAACAAAATACTTGTGACGGATTACAATTTTTTAAAATATTAACAATAAGACATAGGTACCTACATACAATTACGAGGAGTTTTTCAGTTTTCTTTTGAAGATTGTAAGTTTCGAGTTCAGAAGAACAAAGAAGGGACTGGAAGAATAGTGATGTGGATGATGGGGATTCAAAATAGTTACACCATGGAAGCATCTTTTGGTGGATCGTTGATGGGCGGCAGGGCTGAAACCCACTTTACAACACAGGACTACGAGCAAATGGGCAAATTCTTTTGCCAAACTCTTTTAGATTTTTGCGACGAAGATCCCAGAAAGGTAGATAAATATTTCGATGCACTGCAATCGTTTTATACCGATGTCGTTGAAAAATATGAAAAAGATAACTATTATAATGATAGTCTATCAGATGCGTATTGCTTTATCGCAGCATTAGTCATTTGTTTCTATTTATTTTATATTTTGTTACTTTATTAGAAATCGTAATAAACGCATTCGACACGTTTCAAATAGTTTCATATGAATTCAACAAAACGTAAGTTAAAATACATATAAATATAATTCAGGCGCGGATAAACGAATTTTACCACCAATGAAAGAATCAATTTCAAAGCTACTTTAACTTTCAATTCGGATCAGTCGCAGTAGTTAAAATTCTTTTAGATAAATCTATACTTTAGTTTTAAATAGAAAGCAATTCATATAACTCCAAAATTACTGACATTTCAGCGTTTTTTTTTTAAGTTCGATTAAGTAAATCCGAAGGAAGATCATCAAACCTTAAATTTTGAGAAATTTGTTCAACTTTGCAACTTTGCCGCCCCATTGGTGTTTTCCGATTGCTTTAGATCGTTTGATGGAAGATACGGTTAAAACTGAATCAGTTATTTCACTTTAAAATCGCCTATTTAATTGTACTTCTCTAAAATTGGTTACAATTTTTCGAAACTTATTAATTATCCTTATTCCTATCCCCAATTTTTTTGTATTTACTTACAGGAGCGACTTCGGGTAAAGATTATAGAAAGACTTTTAAAGGAAGGATCAAATGCTGACGAACCAACAAACATTGTACTTTCAGACTATTCCAGGTAAATATTTTTCTCATCGCTGTTCTTCAATTGCATTCGTAAGATACTGAAATTTTTCTTCAGTGACGATGGCGAGACAAGCAGCAGCTCGTCAGATGAGGGTGGCGGTCCAAGTGATAACTATATTTCCGTAATAGTTCCACCACCAACTCCGGAGATGACAAAAAAGAATATCAAACCAAAAACGTGCAAAATATCCAAGTTGAACACCAAACCAAAAGCAAAAACTGCAAGTGCGAAACCTCAAAGGCGAACCATTACAGTATGTTAATACTTAAATATTACTTTCTATTTTTCCTTCTTTTATTATTTTTATTACTAATTTGCTTTCGCTTTTTTTGCATAATATTTTGGTACATTTCAATTTTCTTCTAAATTTTACGTCAAGTTGAAATACAGGTAAATGTCAACTTCAAATATTTCAATCCTGGAAATTGTACAGAAAGGACTACTGGATTTTTAATGACGAAAATTAGTTACAATCATGCAACGATTAGAGAACTTCCTCTCGCCATCAGTCAATAATCCTTTGACAATAATCCTTTTATTATTTGATACGATATGACAACTTTAGAATAAGATTTTATATTAAAGCCAAAACGTTGTCTTAGAATTGATATGGTAATAGATACAATAGTTTTCGTGTTAAATCCGTTTATACATAAGAATGATAAGGATACCGTGAATAGAGAAGGTTAGAAATGAAGAGATATTAGAAAGAATAGGAGAACAGAGGACTCTGGAAGTCAATAAGAAATAGGCGAGATAGGTTGGTAGGACACCTTCTTAGGCATGAAGGTCTAGTCAGAGACATATTAGAGGCATAAAAAAAGTGGTTAGGAGGGGTAGAAGTAGATCTAGGTTAGATTACTGTTCTCAAATAGTTAAGGATGTGGGTTGTTCTAGTTTTAGGGAAATGCGAAGTTTAGCTCAGGATAGGAAAGAGTGGAGTTACGTGTCCAACCAGTCTTAGGACTGACGACCTTATGATGATAATGATGAACTGCGTACAGCTTTTTAAACAAACTATATATAACTTCTCCCTTCTCTATCCTTCTATCTCCCCTTTTCCCATGTTAGAAACTATTTCTAAATCTACGAATTCTATGTACGCTCTGCTTCTTTTTTCTATCGTTTTATATAAGTTGATGAATTATTATTATTATACTTACTAATACTGAATAGTTATACTGACAGTAAAAACAATTATTAGATGTCAACTTCAAACATAAATCTCCCTTCCAACTACAACGGTTCGAGTTCAGGATCCGACTCTGACGAAGATTCAAGTGAAAAAGAAACGACAACTCTAAGACGTCCCAAAAAACATCACAAGAAAAAAAAGCGCAAGAAGAAGAAGGTGCCCTCATTATTATATTTTGTACTCGAAGAAGAGCACGCTTAAAATATTGTTTATTTTCAGAAAAAAGAAGTCGAAGAACAAGAAGAAGTACCATCTCCGAAAACGTTGTCCGTCTTAGACATACTTTCCTTCACTAAGTTTAGAAGTATAAACTGGAATCGATCAACACCAAAATTAGCATCTGTGTATGTAATGTATTCATTATTTACACAGATAATGAGAGTTCCTAATTAGTATTGATTAAATTATTTTTACATTAGATACAGGACATATTCCGATTACAAAATTACTAAATCGGCGTCATTACAATTAGCAGAAGTTCAAGTAAAATTATTATCCCTACAAAACAGACTCTGGATGGGGGCTGAAGGCGATATGGCGGATGAACCACTCTCATGGGGCCCTTCCAACATTTATCCTCCCAATCGAACATCTTCAGAAAAGTATGTACATTACTGTTTTAATTTTTTTTCTTCTGTATTTAAAATTTCATTAATGTTTTATATATTTCATTCACTTGAAATAGAAAGTACATATTACTACAAAATTATAAGTCATATTTTTCTGATCAATTTTTAATATTAACGCCCCTAAAAATCAAAAATTAAGTGAGTAACTACCCTAGACAAAAATTTTCAGTCTCTCTCCAGTTTTCAGCGTCTCTGAGAGCGTCTCTCACAGTCTCTCAGTTATTGCCTAGGTGTTTTTATGGATCTCACACAGTCTCTGTATGAGAGAATCGAACGATAAAATTGTTAATTCAGAGATTCCAGTCTCTCACAGAGAGACTGAATGAATAAATCTGAAACATTGAGAGACTCGAGTCTCTCGCAGAAAGACTGGGATCTCTGAAATATGTTGAACTTAGAAAATTTTAACCATGTCTGTCGAGATACCACTTATTGAGAGATTCGAGTCTCTCGTTCAGAGATTGGATACGAAATTAGGATCTTTCTATGAGCGACTCCAGTCTCTCGTTCAGAGACGCTAAACAGTTTTTTTGACAGTTTCTGGACAGTCTCAGCGACACCAGAGAGACTCGATGTGAGACGGAGACTCGAGTCTCGTTTTCAGAGACTCTGAGAGACTGAACATTTTTATCTCCGGTAATTATCTATTAAACATCGCCCTTGTGGTAATTTGGCTTCAAAAAGTTTTTGGTGTTGTGCTCCTTTTCCTATAGAATCAAGTAGTAAATAATAGAAATGCTAATAAAAAACTGTTATCTCTTCATTTTTTTACTTACTTCTTGATATACTATCAAAAGAATTTTGGGAGATAAGATCCCAGGAAGTCCCATTACCAATAACGAAACAGTTAAGAATCCTTTCTCAGCTACAAGTAAATAACATATCTGGTGGTTAATTACTTGATAATTCCGGTTTTTTATTAAATTCAAATGAAAGAAAAAATTTTCTTTAGAATTTTCAACAGAAGAATGAAGAACATTTTCACCACCAAATAGGTATATTATTAGTAACTAATATTAAGTAATCATCCACAGGACCGTGAAGCAAAAGAAAAAAACTGACAAAAAGAAGACAAAACCCGATAAAAAAACTACAAAAACCGGAAAGCAAGACAAAGAAAACATTGTTTCGGTGTAAGTACCTCCACCATCACTATTTTTCCTACAATAATATTTTTAGTAACGTAGAATAAAACAACTATTTATTAAATTTTTCAACTTGAATCAAAGAACTGAATCGATCACTGATCCAATGATGAAGTAATGAAAATTATTCATAAATCTTTGACGAATTGTGTATCATACTCAATTAATAATAATTATAGATGAGGAATATTTGGTCAATTAATTAGTTGTACAAATCTAGAAAGACGTGACACAATTTACAATTAGTAATCATTAAAGTTACACTTTTTCTTTGAAATAACAACTGTGAACTCAATTAAAATTAAAACAGTTTCAATGTTAACAATTTGACCTTTGCTAAATAACGGAAATACTATGCCACATATACAGGGCGATTTATAAGGATTTTCGTTCCAAATATGGAAAAAGAGTCAAGATAAATGAGGGTAGTAATGTTTTTTTTATGATTATACAAAGATTGTAAATGTGAATCAGTAAACACGAGGAGATGTAATCAAGGAAATAAGGGTGAAGCCCGGGTGGGTCCTGCATTTAAAGTTCTGGCCGATGCACCACCATAAGCATTCAACTTCTGTTGATCCAAGCTTTTCTTATTAATGCACAACTATGTGATGTTTCTATTTAATGATGCAAAAATATATATTCCTTGTACTTCTCCAATAATATATTAATCTTTCAATTGGAAGCAACCAGAACCAACTCTCTGGTTGCTTGAAATTAAGAGCTTTTTGGATTTTTGTCAATTGCTAAATAGCTTACTGCGGAAGTACTTCCTGACCAATGGTCATATAGTAACAATGTAATAAAAAAATATTTAACAATGAATAATATTTAATATATAATTAATATTTTTTTAATTGAGTAAACACCAAACAAATTTATCTCAGTTATTCAAATAAATANAGGACCCATTTCAATTTCCTTTTTAAGAATAATAATTATTTATATATATATTCTACTGATATATGATGTAAAGGAGTTTGTATAACATATTTTAGAGGAAAACAACCCCAAACGGACAAGCATTCTACATCGACAAAAATAAAATTGCACAAGTCAAAAAGCTTTCCCGACACTTCAGTAAAAAATGAGAAAAAACCTAACATCCATAGATACGCTACAACTGGCACTAGTTACGAAATCGAAGAAATAAAAAAAAAGAAAGGATCACATAAAAATAAGAAGACAGTTAAAAGATAAGTAGTCTTCTCAAAAAGACTGAGATACACGAATATCATACAATGTGTTCTGGTAGATTTAGAAGTGTAGAGTTTTATAATTTGTTTATAAATACTAATAAATATATCATCAGATATTTTCTTATTCATTTACCCTATTCCAAAATCAGTTTTATTTCATTTCTCCGAACAATTGCCCCAGTCAAATAAAGATCTGTTGAAACAAATACTAGTAAAAATTTGTGTTCTAATTTTATTTTGCTGACAAAGTTAATATGAATATTCATAAAGTGCAAGTATTAAAAAGGACAGGAGAGTACATAGGAAGTCAATAATTAAAAGGAGACGGGTTAGTCAGAGACATATTAGAAGCAGAAACAGTAGCAAAGAGAGGCAGAGGTAGACCAAGATTAGACGTGTTCGTAGACAGAGATGTAGGTAGCTCTAGTTGTCGAAAAAGGCGAACATTGACTTAAGAAACGAATGTGCGTGTTCAACCATCAATCTTCGAACTAAATACTTTATGTTAATGTAGTGATTCAAATAATTAAATTCTTATACGTATTCTAAAATCATATGTTTGGACGCTACCGGATTGTCCTTGTAAAGGACCCTAGATAATTGAAACGTCGAGTATGTCTTCCAAAACAATTTGTTGAAAATATTACTTTCACCATCGAAGCTGCTTTTATAAATCGTAATTACCTCAAAAAATGTGAAGTATCGAAAATGTCCAAAGAAAATTATTTTTCAGCTGTTTAACGTTTTAAAAATTTTAGTGCGATATTAACATTTATAATACTGTAACAAATAAAATCCTTATAACCTTTGTTCGATAGATACCACTTTGATATGTTCTGCATACTGACGCATTTATACTCACATTCCTTAAATTTTAATACATTCAACTTATTAACGTTTGGTGACTGAGGCAAATAATTATTCCTAAAATTTTGCGGTTCGGTAAGTCTCCCACAAAATACTCAGCTTCTTGACTACAATTTCTATTAGTAACCGTGAAATTCTTGAGTGATTAGTACCCTCATTAACAGTGATATTTTCATTATCATATGTTTGTAAAGAAGATATGTTTCGTTCTACGCAATACTTATTAATTAAGACATCAACTTGATTATTAATAATTAAGCCTAATTTGTTTAGTTTACTGATTTATAGGCACTCCAATATTAATTTTTAACATTTATATTCTAAATATAAAGTTCTGTAATTGGCATTGAACCAATGCGAGTCTAGCTTTTTTTATATTCGTTCACCCTCTATTTGTCTCTTAAAGACATGGCACTTATTATTTATTTATTATTTAATTAATGTTACCCATATTTCGTATCCTGTATAGAAAAATGTTTACTCACGTTGGATTCATTTTCGTCGAGATCTGTGGATAAACAGTCACCTGGTGAAAGGACAGGATGTGAGTAGTCATTTCCCAGTAACGTTAACGCAACCAATACAAGTCAGAATGAATGCCACAGGCAAAAGTACCCACCTGTTTTAATGTCCACACATTAAACCCAACTCGTAAACGTTATTATATTATATACGAACAGGTACGAGTAAAAATAAATAAAGAATATTGCGGGGGAAATGTGTAGTAAAATTTCATTTAATCATATAATTAGACCTCCATTCCGAAGAAATACACTTTCAGTGCGAAGGCGCTCATGAAGGCGTAAATTTTTGTTTTGTCGCTTAACTAGTCACTTGTTTTATTATTTTAAGATTGCGTGTGCGTTAACAACATAAACTTCACGACGCAATCTGATCAATACAGAATGAAGTTAGCAGTAGATGCTGAACTTATCACTTGAAATACAGAAAAGTAGCTATTCGACTCTTCAATTATCAAGTCTTATACCAAAATATCAATTCTATCACATACTTCTATTATCAAATCTATTAAGTCTCTACCAAGTATAGCAAATATATGTATTACACGTATAGCTTAAATATACATATAAAAAAAGCCACTCAATGACACAAAACATGGTCCTTCGAGCCGGATTTAATTAATTATCAACTACTGTGTGTAGTGGGTTAAATTATCATATGTGAAGCTGTAACAGAGCTTTAGCTTTCATTCTTATCTGCTGCCTTTCTTCTTCAAGCAACAATAGTCGGTGGATTATTATCGCAGATTTTAATATGGAGAAAGGGCATTCATTTCGTGATAAGTTGTATTTATTAGTTACTACACTATAACTATTTAGTAAAGAGCTAAATGACAAAATCAAACATCAAAAAACACAACGTATATAATTTCATTTGGATGCTACTGCTTCCAAATTGAAAAGTTTAAAAGAAGCAACATTAAAACGTTACCTAACTAGCCAAATGATAACTATTATTGAATTTACAGAAAACTCTTTGTACTTGTCGTTAGTGATGAGTACAGATGTGATGATACTCGTTTTTGTTCGAGTCCAGGTGCAAGAAGAACAAACAATATTAGAACTTATGTATGTAACGTGTGTATGTAAGTATCCATCTCAAAAGAAATCAGTCCATTAGAGTACCTCCTGAATATAGTCAATGCGAAAGTTATAAACCCATTTGGTTGGACTTAACAGACGTACATAATCATGCAAAGATGTAGTTACTGATACGGCGATGCCAATTGAAGAGATGTTATACTGGCTTCTGTGTAAGTCTCATGAATATGCATCAGTTCTAAAGGTTGTCCAAACAGGGCGAAGCACACGGACAATAAGGACGAAGAAGGATGTATGAATATGGCCTGCGACAGCCATGCTTAAAGCCAACAAATGAGTTGTGTGTATAATATTTTAATACCAAAAACGGTTGAACTACCGGTTAATAAATTAACTCACTTGGTAAATATTACTATGCATAATGCAATGTAGGTCTGTATATGGACAAAAGAAGACTATTTAACAACCGAACAAGGTCAATATGTATAATATTACAATAAATTCAATTACAACACTTGCATTTAAATTGTTTTGATGTCTCTAATTTATGAGGGATGTATTGTTTATAACTAATGAAGTAAATTAAATTAACGGCAATGGTAATTGTTCGTGCAAAGTTACGATGCCGATTTTATACCTATTTTTATTAATTATAAATCAACAAAGTACTTTTATGGTATAGCAAAGAGAAGAAAACGCGTTGAGACATTAAACTTAATGAAAAACAAAAAGTATGGAATTCTCGTAAAATCCACGGAAACTGTTTATGTTCCCATAAAGTAACAATTACGTCCACACTTGATGTCATGGCAATAAGCACGTTTAAATGATGTGCTGTTCTAATGAAAAGTATACTTGGTCTGAAATTACTGCTTACCTGTAAGTGCCCCTAGAGAATGTACTCACTATTTTTACTTATCTTTAAATGGATTCAGCAATCGTTCTTATAGAAATTTATTGTTATCAAGATTTCGAAGAAATGTATAAAAATTTGTTCATTATTTAACAAAATAAGATAAACTACTGCTAAAATGATTATATCATTTACGTAAAAAGTTCTCAACAAAATTACAATTTTGGAAATATGCAACACGTTCTTTTGCTTATTATACATATAAGTGTTTCATTTGGATGGATTAAAATAATATTATTAATAAAAAAGGGAAAAATATCATTATTTATACTTTTAGAATTTGGAAAATATCGTCCAAGCTGCCCCAAAAGTTTTGCAAAGGAACATTTAATATCTTAATACGGGGGCAACTAGGTACTAAAAAACACTCAACAACAAATTGAACCCCAGTCACGTATACCAATAAAATAATTCAGTAAACAATCTGAAAAATTGAAATCCTAATATTTTAGCATTAATATCAAGAAAAAAAACAACTTGATATTTACGTGTTACAAATGCGTCTATAATATGAAAAAGAAAAACGAATTGGAAATTGTAAAATCTATAAAGGAATGGTAATGGCTGCTACAACATTTTTTTTGTATATTTTTAACTAACAAGAAGATTAATTGTATATTAATGTAAAATTATTATTACGACTATAGAATGTTCATAAATA